TTCTTATTTCATAGATAGAGAAGCTGACTCAAACATGACTGACTAAATCAAGAATGAAGTTCTAAAGTTCTAACTGTCCATCCTCTTTGAGAAACCATTAAGAAGTTCAACTGGAAGGGAAAGTTGTAGAAATAGCTGAATTAAAATACCCAAATTAAATAGTTTCCAAATTTAGTCTGAACCTCTGTATTGAAGTTTGAAAATTACTGTCTCCATTACCTTTCTCTGTCATCAAAACCAGTTGTTTCAAATAATGTCAAAAAGTGAGACACAGTTGTATATAAAATGCACTACTGCAGATATAGTGTGCAGAGAGAAAATGGAGATTTCTGTATCCCCTTGATCTTTTTTTGCAGTGAACATTTATTATATTAAATTTAATTCCATATATTAGAAAATTATGTCCCAAGTATGTGGCTTGAGCAACTAAAAACTGTTGAGCTGTATTATGATTTTAGACAATGTACAACCAGAAAGTACAGAGGTACAACAGGCTAGTAAGAACACAGGGTGGAAGAGAAAGTTTGTGTTTACTTCCTCTTCTACACTGTGGGAATGATAAAGAGAATTTACCCTTCCTCTTCATTATCCCTTTCATGGTTACTAGTTAATGGACTCAAAATGTAATTTACTGCTTGCATGGGCTATCAGTAAATTATTTCTCATAACTGATAGGGAAGGAATCTTGGAGGCTTAACTGCATATCTGAATCTTGTTCATGAGACAGCACAATTATATGCCAAGGACTGTACTGTGAGTGAACCACTGGAGTCAGAACTTCTGCTATGCTTGAAGGGCACGATTTTGGGCAATAGAAGAAATACAATGACATGGATTAGATGGGAAGTATTACTTTACGTAAGAAAATTTCAGGCTTATTATGTAATCAAGGACCCTGAATCAAACTCCAAATCAGACCGGTTTTCAGAACTGTGGGGCATTGCCTTGTATAACCAAGTTTGTGAAATAACGAAAGACTAATTCCCTTCCTCCACCACTGTGAACATCCTCACAGCAGAAGGATAACTAAAGTCAAGTCAAATGTCAGAGGGAAGCTACAGGAGCTTGATGGGAATAGGTTTATTATTAGGACATACATCCTCCGCAAAAGCAGGCAAAGGGTCCAAGAGAATTGAAATGCCTTAATTAAATACATTGTGGCTAAGAAAGTAGGAGATGATTGATTCTGTAAAGATATTTTATGTCCTGATTTGAAATAAACAGTTCTATTTCAGTAACAGAATCCCCATGCAACTGATTGTGCCTTTACTTTTAGAACAAATTTGAAATCAACTTAGAAGAAGAAAATTCAGAAACGTTACCTGCTGTGCTCTGTTTAAAGAATAAGTGAATTTCATCCAGTATTGATTTTTCAAGTGTGTCATATTTGTGAATGGAGCTTGTTTTCAAAAAGTTCTGTTTATTTCAATATAAACACAGTTGTTCATTCTTTATCCTTATCTGTGTAAACTGTACTGATTTGTTTATTTCTTAAGTTTGGTGTTCAGTGTTAACATTCTTGAATATTAGAGAAATGGTGGAATGTATAAATCAATCCACTCTGCAGTTCTGTGATGACAGCTGGATTAGGATCCAGGATTTGAACTCAACTCCGTATCTATTGGTTATAGCCTTTCCTTATACAGGAAATAAATTACAATTACCTGCTTTGCATAATGAAATGACCCATTTTCATACTAAGTGCGTAATAATAATGTTGTATCCTTCAGGGACTATGACACAAACAAAATCAATTATATGTATGCTCAGTACGTCAAGAATACGATGGAGCCTCTCAACATCCCAGATGTCTGCAAAGACAGAAGATTTCCCTGGACAGTAAGTAAAATAAGCTTAATTTGAAATTCAGAAATGGAAAATGTTCTTCTCTTTACCCTTCAAACCTTTTTTGTTTTCCCTAATTATTTCTATTAATTTAATGGCCACAGTTAGAATTATGCAAACACAAAGGAAGGTACATTTGCCTGGTAAGATCCACTACTGGTGAAGAAATGGTACAATACTCACACAGTGAGCCAGGTGGCCAGGGGAGGGATTTATCGCTACAGCCATTATTAAAAAAGCCTAACGTTAATTTGTCAATAAATAGTGTGATGTGGAGAGCTTGCTGTATATTCTATGGAAAACATTTAAGTGAAGAACAGCTGGAGGTTTTCACAGCAATCCTCGGTAGTTTACTGTGAGTGTTGGGAGTCTCTCAGAAGTTCCTTCCCTTTTATGCTCTCCTTTCCCTTCTTGTTCTGGCAAAGATTAATGTTATAGATGCAGATTCTTGGCTGTTTTGGAGAAGGAACTACTTCACTTTTCTTTGGGAGCTTTTGCTTCACACTTCAAGCATGAGCTTGTGGTATGGTGTACTATTGAACACACAGATACTGGAGAGTTAGGAGGGTAGGTCACTTGGCAAGACTCAGATTACAGTCAGGTTGCCTTCAAAGTTGTCATCAACAAAATGCAAACTTGTAATTCTGTATTCTCCTGTCAATGCAGAAATTAGAAAGATGCCTGCTCTCATTATATTTAAGCCTGCTGGCTAGAGGGTCTCGGGGAGAGGGTAGTAAGAGGGAGAGGAGTTATTATGATCAGATAGCTTCTTACCAAACTTGTTCTGAGATGCACAACAAAAAGGTCAGAAAATACAGTGTTCAATGTGATTGTTCCAGTAAGCGGAAAGAAGAGGCAGGCTCATGGTGGAGAGCTGTGTTGCTTCTCTTTTTCTCTGTGCAAGGTTTCCTGGATGTTCTGGAGTGGGTATTAGAATTAGAATTGAATTGCTGATGTGGCTAATAATTAGCAATAATTGCTAATGCTAACTGTTGCTCAATCCTTCATTAGGAATTGAGTGCTCACCACTTTGCAGCACAGGGCCCAAAGCTCTCTTAACTGCAGGAGTTGAAGTAAAACCAGAATCAGACGGATGTATTAGATCAATAAAGAAAGAGGTGATTATTTTGAAGACATTTTAAAATAAAATTAATACCTTGAGAGATACAACTGCTTGCCTGAAACAGGCCTTTCACTTTGTCAGTAGGGTTAGAGTTCTTTTGCATTTTTCGCTGGAATCTAGATGACTTACACCTTATACATGAAACTCATAAAAAGAAAATAATAGTACTGCTAGAAGGAATTTTGGATAATGTTTTTCAACACACAGTGGCTGCATTTTCACTACTGCGTAGGAGCAGTCTCAGGGCAGAGCTATAGGCTGAATGTTTTGAAATCTGATGAACCCTGACATGAGGGGAAATCCCAGGTGTACCAGGTGCCCTAGAAACCCTGGCTTGCCTCTTTGGAGGACATTCAACAGCATGCTTACTCACCTTATGAAAATAACTTTGTGCTTTCTAAATGCTTTGGTGGCCTCAGCTACCTAGGTAGTGACATGAGGCAGAACGACAGCTTGGGTTTATTCATGGAAGAGCCGTGATGTTGCCTGCCTCAGGTTCAGGCCACTTACAAGGACAGTATGGAAGACAAATGCTAAGCTTCAGCAGGCATGTGTATATGTTCTTCCATGAACCAACAAAGTTAGTGCAGTGGAGACAAAATTCAAATATCTAAAAGACTCCTTAAAGGCATTTAAGCCTCTTTTTGCTTAATCTCCTTCCTGTTCATTAATATTGGGTCAGGCATTCTTATTAAGCACTGTGGTCTTATCTCCAGTCCAGTCCAGTTTGACTTTCAATGCACCTGAACTTTACCATGAAACAGCAGGTTCTTCTCAGGGTAGCCATAAACCAATTTTCATGCAAGCTTGACTTTGTGCTTCTCAGCTGCCCTTGCTGGAGAGGTCTAGGGAGAGATGCTGATTCTTATATCCTTTTTTACATCTCATTTCACAGGTATGTCACAGTCAGAAAACAGCAAATCCTACTCTTGAGTTATTCCATATACCCTCTTGATAATGGGCTACTATGAAGTAGTAGTACTTAAGTTCCTTGGGGCATGTAAAGTATCTGGCATGATGTAATCCTTTAATGTTTTCTTTAAAGAATCACATTTCCTATTGCCACTTGTAGACATTATAGTGTTTGTGCATTTGCCTGCAAAGAATCTGTCTACAATCCTTGCACAGCACCAGAAAGCAGAGCAACAATAGTTAAAAAAACCCCAAACAAATAACCTTTTGATCTGAAATATTAGTGTGTACCCATTTTTTTGTGTTGCATACAATTAGAGATTGGACCAAATGTACTTCTCAGCAACTGCCATGTTATTCCAGGAGCGGTCAGAGCAGAACTATGTCCTGTTCTCACCAGGTATTTCAAAAAGATGCATTGTCTTTTTGTCCCACCCTTCCACCCCCCAAATAAATTCAGTTTCCTTCTCTTGGAGCACGAGACATGATAAAAGGTCTTTGGAAGACTGAAGAATATTGCCCTAGTTGGTGGTAGTTTTCCTACCTGTTGTTCTTTGGATCATAATTTGGTCTCCACTAGCCCCCTTTCATTGCCTTGGTGGATTAATTAAAGCATCTCCAACAAAACAAAAGAGTTTACGAAAATTTTAGTGCCACAAAATGCACAGTTAGCTTAATGTCAGGTAGTTACTCCTATTTTATGACATCTGTTCCTCACATTGCCATATTGCAAGTGAGGGGATATGCTGGAAAGGGGAGAGGTCAGTTCCTTTAACAACTCATCATCTGATGAGAGTAAAAAGGTGTCCTAAAGCCCATCTGATCTCTTTTCAGCTGTACTGAGTGGAACACACTGTCTTGGTGCAAAGTTGTCATTTTCATGGAAATGGTACCTTCTAATGAAAGAACCTATTATAAAATTAGCACATTTTTAGCACAGTTATGCAAGTCACTGTTAACTCCTACTGCATGAAGATTATCATCATTATCTGTATTATTATTCACCAAAGCTTGTACCAGATACAGTGTTTATTATACCATCCAGCCAAAGATGTGCAAACTCTTTGAAGACATGGTTGCTTTTTGAAGGAGTATGTAAACCAAGAATAGTTGTAGACCGCATCTCTACAGCTTTTTCACTTCAGCCACCTGAACATTAGCCTTTAAAATTGTAACTGTATTTTTCTGTTTATTTAACAGAATGACAAAGCAGAAAATGTAAATCAACACATAAAGAGTTTGCTGTGTACACCAATAAAAAATGGGAAAAAGAATAAAGTGATAGGTAGGTATCTTTACAAAAAATATTTTTATACATGTCATAGAAATATTTCTGTGCTCCACAGTAAAATCTCAGCAACATGGAATCTCAACCCAGGAGTAAAGATCCTTAATTAATCATGTTTTCAACTAGTAAGTCCCCTGCAACCCTGACTGTAAATTGCTTACCTAACAAGTTACCAAGTATCTACAACACTCTTGTGATACTTCACCATTTTTATAAAAGCTTCTTTGCATTTGAAAATTTTCTGTATGCAAAATTATTTTCATTGCTTCCTGTTCAGAGAGTCAGTTACCACTCTTGCTTGTGTAGATCTTTTACAAGGCAGTGAAAGGAAGAGAAGATGTAAATCAGTAAAAAAACTCTTCAGGCCTGAGCTCTCTGTAGTGCTGGGCTTTTAGGGAACAGTGGTGGCATGTGTAAAGGCAAGCTGAACTGCACAGACATTGACGGTTTCCTCAAATGAGACTCAGGTACAGAAAGATTCATCCATTCGAAGGCTAGCTGCCGTGCAGTTTTGGTGCTACGAATTGCCCTTTGGAGGTGCCTGCTTCTATCTGTGGATTACATAGGGAGTCTACAGTCCTATCGTAAGACACTAATTTAAGTGTCTAAAGCTACCCAGTGTAAATATCTCTGCAGCATCTCCTTTGTTTTGTCTAGAAGTACTTTTCTTCTATTTTAAAGAGTGGCCATAGTACGGCTGGTTTCCTGGGGTAACATTTTCAGAAGTAATTTGACATCCACATAGGTCCACATAGGCCTAGACGCTTATGGAAACTTAGAAGCCTAGTTATCTCTAGTTCCCTAAAAATAATTAGGTGGCCTTGGTGTGGGTCCTCGAAGATGAGTATACACTTAAATAGTTTTGAGGATCTGGTCAGGGAATAAGCTTAATGAGCTTTCAGTCTTTCAGTGAGTTTCAGATTCACCTTAAACAAAGGGATGATGATGCTTTTGGAAATTACCAGGACTTCCCTGTCCTGTGAAGAGTAGAATGAGTGTCAGCCTGCTTGCATGGCATCAGTAAGTCCCACAAGCAAACAGAACATAAAATACCCTAATTCCTAGATAGCAGCGTGAATCCAACTTCCTCAGCTTTGCAAAATTTGGCAAGTAAATGTTAAGAGTTCCAAGAATGCATTTTTTAATGGTCTTCAAATATTTTTCCTTGATAATTATGGCAAAACTGCATAACCCAATGTATGTAGTAAATATGAGGTCCCTTTTCCATGAAGACAGATCTTTTTTAACTCCTGAAGCAGAAAGAGAAGCATCATCTTTACCTAATGGAGTTCTCTGAAATTTCTTTTGATATCAGCTTCTATAATGAGTTCTTTTACTACATTGTTTTAAATATTCTACCAGACCCTAAAAAACCAAGATGAAGATTGAACCATTGAGCTTTAATTAGAGATATTTTACTATTCTGTTAGGTACTGATAAAACAGTTGCATCTGATCTCATACAGTTTTTTTTGTATTGTTATTTTCTGTGGAAATTCAAACTGAAAGTTTCAGTCAGGCCACCCATTTAGGTGGGTTTTTCAAATCTGAGTAATTCTCATTGGAAAATGTTCTTCAAAGTCTTTTAAGGTTTCACAGCGTGCCTAATGTTCAGATCTTTAATAGGGCAAGGTCAAGAAGTTGTCTTTGGGACAATACCCAGACGTTCCTTTAGCATACTATATACTATGTAAGACTATTATTATAGGTCTACTTTTTTTATTCTTAAGACTAGTATACCCAAAACCGGCATTTGGGAAATGGGGTGTGCAGATGGGCGTGGGGTGGGAAAAACTGTCCACAGCAAAACCAAGCAAATCTTACTGGCAAGAAAGATGAAAAGAACTTTTTTATTCTCCCAACTTGTGCATTTTTCAGGTATGTGGTGAAAGCTTTACAGAATCTTTCTGTGGTTTTATAACTATGTCCCAATAAAAGACTTTTGAGTTCCTTTAATTTTAATGTATGGACCCCCTCAATGCTTTGGGGAAGCTTTTGAAAAAGGCTACAGTTAAAGAGTCTCAAGTACTACATAGTATATTTACTGCAGTTCTCTCATTTTTTAAGAGACATTTACATGCATCTAAATGCTGTGTCTTTAGAAGAATTCATTTGCTTTTGTGGCTTATTCACTCTTGAGTCTTAATCTTGTGTTCATTACATCACAGTTGCTATGGAAATAATTATAAAGTCATAAACAGTACTAAATAGAGATCTGAAAGTGAGTTTCATGAGATTTTCCTATAGAGTTTTATAAGTCAGCTTCTTTTTCCCAGAGAAAGCTAATCTTGTTCTTAGTGAATCCTTATTTGCTGGGATAATATATTTTTACTATCATTCAAGTATCTAGTCATCTTGTTCCATTACGGTTCAGAATCCTGTTTGCAATATTCAGATACCACAACCCCTGCCACAACAGTTTACAGCTACAGCTAAAATATTCTTACTGATCTCTTTAGAGGAGACTCTGATACTAAAATAAGTTCCCCAAACAGAATGTAATTTGGAAACAGGACAGTTTGTCATTGTCACCAGACATTAAAATTTCTACATGCAATGCCAGTGTTCTTCTAAAAACACACTTTGCATGTGTGTGCTACATTCTTTTCCTCAGTTTTTCTACCTCCTGTAACAGGGACGATGCACACTTGCTCCCTCAAAGACTTTTTTTCCTTTTAATTAGAAACCTTAATGAGCTTTTTTAGTCTGTAAATATGGAGTACTAAAATGCTGGAAATACTTTCATATAAAAAATTAGAATCAGCAAGTATTCTTAAGCTTTGAGCCTCAACTTGGGTATTCTCTGTTTAGTTCATTTATTTTAAAAAATTTCCAGTACTGACTCAAATAAGGAAGTGAAAACTCTGTGTACCACTGTTCTGACTTTCATAAATGTTCTTTTGGCACGGTTACAAAAATTTAATTAGCCTCCAAAGGACAGATTGTCTTTAGGGATTAAATCAATCTAAAATACTATTAATAATAAAAGTTAGGATGAAAACGACCCTAGAATTTCACAAGATAATCATGTCTGTAAAGCCCCACATTTTTGTTTTACAAATCCTAAAAAATATTTTTGAGTCTACTGAGTAATATATAACGTTTTAGCATTTATTCTAGAATACAGTGAAATTACTCTAAAAAGCTTCGGGGAAAATCCTACAGCACTCCTGGGTGTCACTTCTATGTATATTGGTAGTTTATACTGTAGGCTAAACTGTCCTAGACTTAATTTTTCTTTTGATGTTCCATACGATAGGTGATATGTTGGCAGTTCTCTGTATTACTTCTTTTAATTTCTGTATCCTGGCATAGGGGTTTGCCAGCTTGTGAATAAGATGGAAGAAAACTCAGGCAAAATCAAGGCTTTCAACAGAAATGATGAACAGTTCCTGGAAGCATTTGTCATCTTTTGTGGCTTGGGGATCCAGAACACACAGATGTATGAAGCTGTAGAAAGAGCCATGGCCAAACAGATGGTGACATTAGAGGTGAGCTCAAAATCTAGGTGGTCCTTAATCAGCCCAAAACAGGTCCTAATTTTCTCCAAACCCTGCCTGTTCTACACATAAGTGCAGCTACTCACATGGATACCGAACAGAAATTGTTCTCCCCCAGGAGAACAGCATTTGGCCCGCTGAGCTGCACAGGAATTTTTCTGCTTGTTTACGTATCTGCCAGCAGACTCTTTTATTTGGTATTGTATTTTAACTTACTCATGAGGTTTAGTGGTGAGCTGAATGCATCTTTTCCTCTACATGAGGCTACGCATTGGCAACATAGTGGATTTGTTCTGTTGCGTAGGAAGAGGAAATGGTTTGGGGGATTAGGGGCTTCCTTTTCTTGTCTGAGGTTTTCTGTGATGATTTTGGCTCAGTCCTTTAGACAAATGGGTTTGTGGAGTAACAGCAGCATTATTGTAGGTTTTCAGCAATTTCCTCAGACTCCATCAAACCATATCAAGATGAACGTCATCTGGTCTCAGCCTTTGAATTGGTTACTGTTAAATTTAATAGCTAAAGAGGGCTTTAGTCTGAGAAGCTGAATTACTCAGAGGTGATAACTTGAAGCTGAAAGTGAAAAATTTGTAGACTTTGGATCTCCTAACATTCATTATGTAAACAGAGTGTTTGCAGAATTCCTAAAATGGGGATTATGTACCCTGTAGCCTCTAAAAGAAACGTTAAAACTCTCAAATAAACCTTATTAAGGGAACCGTATTAAGTCACGTTAAATAAAAAGGTAGTAAAATTATTGTCAAAATAATTTCAGTGCTTTAAAAAAAGAGAGCTGTTTGTTTATATGGCAAACTAGCAATTCTTTCTCCTACTATAACACTTTATAGATAATATACGAAGTCCAGACAGATTATAGGTTAGTATGTAAGATGGCTTCTTTACAAAAAAAGCCAGCCTCTAGTTGCTAAAAAAACTCCATAACATTTTCATGTCCTGTGTTCTCAACAGCTAAAAAATATGAGCTTATTTTGTTAATTTAAAACAAACATACTGTCTTTCAGACTTTTCTGCCAAGTTTCAGTTAGGGCAAAACTTTCTTTTATGTCTGAATAAACTCCTGAAAGGATTATTATGGCAACAACATCAGGCTCATAACTATAGCTGTTTCATGTATTATTTGTCTTTGAAAGTGGGGCATGAAAACTTTCCAAAGAGAAAATCAGAGTTCTTTGCTCTTTTATAGAAACTATTTACATTTTCTTGGCCTAATTACCTCAAGAAGATCCTGTGCTGTGGAAGATTTGTGAAAGCTGCAGATACCTCCCCATATGCTTTCAGATAGCTTCCTTAAAACCAGTGCGGGCCCTGCATGGACACTAGATCTCATCAGCAAATGCAATTTAATGCAATGCAGTGCAGCTGCAAGCTGAAAATTCTGCTTTAGGAAAAATACCTTTTTGTCACATTGCTCTTTTTCTTGTACTAAGGGCTGCTTTTCTCTTTCTGTAGGTTCTCTCATACCATGCTTCTGCTGCTGAGGAGGAAACGAGGGAGCTGCAGGTAACAGCGGTAATTGAATTTTTTACTATTACTTTAGAAATATTCCTTTAATAGAACAACAAAGGGCAGTCCTTTATACAGATGTAAATGTGCAGAAGCATATCTTCCAGAAATAAAAATTACAGTGAAGCTTAAACTGATTGGTTCCTGAGTTGAATCAATACATCACATAAAAGGGAAATGTTACAATGTGTACAATGAGAGATACAGGTTGGCCAGAGAGCTGCAATTACAGGAGAACCAGAAGTATACCGACCACCTTTCTCCTGAGTTTCAGTGACAGTAACAGCTGATGCAATGTTAGTATCAACTCACAATGATTAAGTATTTCAGAAGCAAAATGTTGAGAACTCTTCTTTCTGCAGCCAAGGCTGAATGTTGTGTATTTTATATCTTTGGTACCTTTCCAGCATCCCAAGTATGGGTGCAGCTTTATGGCCTTACAGAGAAATTCTGTATTTAATTGTTAATGCAATGATTTTTTTTATTTTCATAGTTACTTTTCTGTGCAGTGTCCTTTTCTGCTCATGTTTAATTCTGTGTTTAGAAACCACTGCCTAAGAGATAACTACAGCTATGATTTGAAGTGTAGTTCAAAGCTCAGTCTGTGCTTAAGTCTCTCCAGTTCTCTCTGTTGGAGCAGACATTCTGGGGAAATAGCATCGCCCCTGCTGTACAAAAAAAAATGGGAGGGATGGAGGGATGGGAAGGAAGGTAGACACAGGGGACCACAAGCTGGGTAGTATGGGACTAGACTGGACAAGCAAGGTGCCACAGAACAAGGCACAAGTGTAAGGATAGTTCTAGAATTAGCGTCACACAGGTTTTGAACTTCAGTCGTACCACGCTGTTGCCATCAATAAAGAAGCACTGACAAGACCAGCATGCAATGCATCTCCTAGGGTTTCTCTTCAGGACTTGCATTGTAACCTCTGTGGTTACATCTTTACTGCTAAATAAAACAGAACCACAATAAACCTAGCGCTGAACCAGTGTCCACCTCTACTGCTTAACTGTCCATGTGCTTCCTAGCACAATCTTGGCTCATGTCAACCACCACTTTCTAAGGCGGTACCAGAGCACATGGTACCAGAGCACATAGCACAGGCCAGCTCCCATAGGCAGTGTGGATGAGTGCACCAGGTTTGGCTTCCTCTAGCCTACAGTCTTGCAGCGCTATTCGAGCAGGTTTTGCACCCTCAGATATATCACATCACATCCCAGGGCAAACAAATACCCTTATTTTCATGCTATGAAGCCATCACTCTGAATTTTAACAGAGCAGTCAGATTAGTTCAGATAATTTGAGCTGAAAAAAGAAAACAGGCACTAAAAATAAGGGTATCTTACAACTTCAGGGCACCACAGGGAGCCCAAAGCAAACCATGGACCAAGTACTATCTAGTATGGACAAATCAGTTCATGGCATTTCGCCTCATTGCTAGAGAGTGATCCCTGTCCTGTTTTATACAGCCGTTCTGAGCAAGTGATTACTTCAAGTACTACTTCAGGGAAGTATGTAAGAGTGGCAGTTCCTTTCTTATGCAAATGATTCTTTCCTTGCAATCTAACTTACTTTCAGCAAGGTGTAGAGAACTTTTTCTTTTTTGGTGTGCTGACAAAGACTTTACAAAAACTTCCACAAAGTACTTGTGCTAGTATTTTCATCTAATTAAGAACAACCTCTGCCACATTACTGGGATACCTGTGTGTTGACTATCTTCCCATTAACACATCATAGAAAGACTTCAGTTTTGAGACCAGCAATGTGGAGCAGCTAACTAATATAACCACCTTGCCTGAAGTGACAGACAGATGTTACTCGTAGTTTATTCCAGGCTTCAGATTGTACAACTTTGATGTAATATATGGAGATGTGATCCAGGTGCCTAAATTACAGTGATGTAGCAAGTTACTGTCTACAAACTGGGCTGGTGGCTAAAGCTAACACATTGCATATTACAGCTTTTGTTCCACTGCTGAGGGTCAGCTGATGAATGGCAATTTACTTGGCTTCAGAATTTTATTAATTTTTATTTTGCACTCATATCATTGTATCAAGCCAGCCAAAATAGATTAAAATGATCTTTCTAGATATGCCTTTTTATGATTTGCTTTGTTTTGCTTCTAAATAATCTGATAGCACAGAAAGTAGATGCTTCATCAGGCAGTTGGACTAGATGATCGTTGTAGGTCCAGCTGGAACTATTCTATTCTTTCTCTTCTCTTCTCTTCTCTTCTCTTCTCTTCTCTTCTCTTCTCTTCTCTTCTCTTCTCTGCCTTGTGTAATAGGCTGCAGTAAAATTTTTCACTTTCATCATCATTTCCACATACTACAGAATGTCATATTGCATCAGGCACCTCCTTTGAGCCTGCATACTGTCTGCAACCCGTGTTTTATCATCCAAAGCAAATGAAACAAAGCAAAACTGTTTACAGTTGCCACTCAGTTACCACAGTGGTCCCACATTTTCCTTAGCCTTCCTTTTGCTGCCAATGTATTTACAGAAGCCATTTTTGTTGCCCTTCCCATCCCTCTCTAGTTCCAACTCAAGCTGAGCTTTGGTTTTCCATCTTCATCCCTGCACACTTTGGTAATGTCTCTATATTCTTCCCAGGTAGCCCATCCCCACTTCTTCCTTCTGTGTACTTCATTTTTTTCATTTGAGCTCACTCAGGAATTCCCTGTTCATCCATGCTGGCCTTTTACCATGCTTGCTTGACTGCCTGCATGCCAGAATGGACTATTCTTGTGCTTGAAGCTTTCCTTGAAGGTAACGCCTTGGTGTATGAAATGAAGTTATAAGCTTTATCTGTAGGTTTTTCAGTCATAAGAGAAGACAAGGTTTTAAAATTATTTTCTATACTTAACCAGGTAAAGAAATTGAGTCATTAATTAATTTTTTACTACTAATTACTATTAATAGAATGCCTATAGTAAGCCATAGTAATTAAAAAGTCACAGTTATGCAAAGAGGGGAATTAATGGGCACATTTTCTTCTTTTCTTGACTATTTCATGCTCTTTATAATATTACTGAGGTGGAGAAATTGAGCAAGAGGTTGTAATTTGGTCACTGCTTACAGAAGCTGACCATAGCTCAGTAACTTGAAATTAAAATAGCTGATGAAGTCTCATGCTGTAAAATGGGGTGCAGATAGCTCTACAGGCTTCAGTAAGTGAAAAAGAAAATATCTAATGCAGTTAAATAACACTTGAGTAGCTGTAGAGTGCAGTTTTTTATGTCTCAGCTGAAATGAAACTTATTGTTGTGGCTGTCAAGGGCAGGAGATCAAGAAAGGGAAAGATGAATTATGAATTAAGTCAGAACACAGGCATGAGATGTTCTGTTGAGCTCCTACTGTGTCCTTCCAGCCCTTTTCCTCATGAAATACCAGACTGCAGTTGCAGTTTTTCAAAATTATGTCATTAGAGTTCCTGAATGGTTGCATTATTTTCCACTGAACATAGAGGCCTGGTGGTTCTTTCACATGCTTATAGGTGAAATACCACATGAATCCAAACCGAGGGACACAAAATTACTGGTACAAGAAATGTGTAAGAATGTTGGAATTTTTTTAATCATCAGGTTTCAGTATAATGTGAAGGTAAAATTTAGTATCTCACTACTTCTCTGGTGAAAAAGCAGATACTTATGTTATGCTTTCTCTCTCCTAGTGCTAAGTTGTGTTCTCTTATTCTTCTCTAGGCTGCTGTAGTACCATCCGCACAATCTCTCAACCTAACTGACTTCAACTTCAGTGATTTTGAGTTATCAGATTTTGAAACAACACTGTGCACAATTCGAATGTTCACAGACCTCAACCTGGTGCAAAATTTCCAAATGAAACATGAGGTATGAATGCTGTCAAATGCTGCTTCACATAAAGAGACAACTTAGTTATTAGGAAATCAGGAGAATAGTGAAACGAGCCTACAGTATATATAATTGGAACTCTGTGTTAAAGAGTAGTTAGGAAACTAGGAAGGTATATAGAGTGGGCAGTACTGGGGTTTGTCCTCAGTTTGGTTCTACTGAATGATTAATAATTTAGTTAATGGACTGTAAAATGCTTTTAGAAAACTTGGGAAGTGGAGCTAGAGGACTTGGTTACAATTCAAATGAGTTTGAAAATGTATAGCAAAACCAGGAAGAATAAATACATAAAGACTAACAAAAACAGTCAAATGCATAAATTAAAAATGGTAAACAAAAGAATAGCTAGTGGTAACAGAGAAAAACATTTCACAGCTACTAGTATCAGAAACCGTGTAAAAGTCAATAATGTGCCATAGTAGCAAAAAGGGGCAACTTTCATTCTTTACTGACAGAGTGGTATTTAAGGCCCATGGAGTAATTATGTTGTAGCTCATATTTGAAGAGACACAGAGATACAAATCAATTTTTAAAAATAACAATTTAGGAGATTGAGGAAAGTTTGAATGAATTAAGCTGGTTTTCTCCAGAAAACAGAATATTGAGGAGGGAGATGATAGCAACTTTTCAGTAAGTGAAAGACTGTTATAAAGAAGACAGTAATATTGTTCTCTATGTCCGTATAAGGTAGTAAAAGTAATTAGCTCAGTCTTTCCCCCACAAAAGATTAGATTAGAGATTAGGGGGAACTTGATAGTTATGGAGATAGTAAAGACTGAAACAGATTACTTATGTGAGCTGTGGAAATTTCCCTGAAGGTTTTTACCAATAGATCTAGTTGTAGATATGCACCTGTCAGAGGTGATCTAGACAGGTATTTTTATTTTGTTCCTGGCCCTGGAGGTAGACTAGATAATTGCTTAGGCCTCTTCCAGTCAATACGCACAATTTCTATTTGTAAAAACCTTTGTTTTTAAATACTTTATTTTTGCTTTGTATATTTTTCAACAAAACTTCCAAAGTTCAGTATCAAAATGCAAGATTAATTTGGAGGACTTCATAGGCAAACAAATTAGTGAAAGAAAACAGGTATTTAGTTTCACAGTACTTAGTTTCACCTTTGTAGTTAAGGCCAAGAACTTGTACTTCCTTAAGGGATATGTCCCAACAGAAGAGAGGGAGTCAGGTAGCCCAGTAATGGGTGGGCTTCTAGTGTCTAGTGGAGCAATTGTAATGTATTTGCAAAACCAAAATAACACCATGACAATAGACACATAATTACGCATCTCAATAGAAGCAAGAGAACATTGACAGCTTTGAAGCTATGCTTTCACCTTTCCGTACTAGGGCTACAGAAAACTGGCAGTAGCCTAGCACTCCTTTTTTAACAGTGGAAAGGCAGAGAATACTGCTGCTTTTGTCTGTGTGGAATCGATTATGTGGGTGAATGATACTGGATCTTCATTTCTGTCAGTAAAACATCTTTCACTAGGAACACTAAAAATTTTCTTGAACAAACCAAGGCCTAGATTCTCAGCCAGCATTTAACATAGAGCAGTATGCTGTATCCATTCAAACCAAGGGACCTGTTCTAGTACACATCAAATTACTATCTGACCTTCATACCTTTCACTTTCTTAGAAGTAAAGTATAACCCACAACTTGTAATACTGTTGTGCAAAACATCCAGGGCATACTTTCTTACTGCATAAAAAAATACTACCCAGCAATATAGTAATCACTGTCTTTCTGTCATACTTATTTGCTTTCCAAAGTCCAATTCTGCTTGTCTTTTGATAGGAGGGAAAAGCCACATGTTCATTATCAAAACAGCTCTTAAGAGACCTCTGTAAAAAGGTCTCTATCAAAAACAATTTCTCTATCAAATATTTCAGTACAAACAAGGATCTTTTTCTCCCAGTTAGCTCAACATAACTCAGTTTCTGAGTCAACAGCAGTGCATCTGACACCAACATTTAGCCATTAGTAACAACACCCCAAACGCGCATACTCAATGAGAGGCTGAACTAGTGGCTGTAAGCATATTCTTATCTATGTTCGCAGTTACAAGTATGTTATATTTGAACTTAATTGAGTTAAAAGGAAGGTTTTTTTCTGTAAGAGAGACAGTTTTCAAGTGGGATTAGAGAAAGATTTGTTTTCATAAGAAGAACAGATTTCTAATACATTTACAGTTAACTCTCTGATGCTGTTTCTTAAAGGTTCTCTGCAGATGGATTTTAAGTGTAAAGAAAAATTATCGGAAAAATGTTGCTTATCACAATTGGAGACATGCCTTTAATACAGCGCAGTGCATGTTTGCTGCTTTAAAATCTGGTAAAATTCAGGTACATTTTGCTGTTTCTACATTAAGAATCTTCTGGCTAAACAAATTCTATAATGATGCATAGTTCTGATTGTCATGTCAGTAAGATGTTCATCATTCCGTGGTATTGCTAGTGAAATCACAATAGTTCTGCTAAAGACTTCTGGCTTTAAGGGCTTGGTTTGTGAAATGATTGTCATGTTGTTAGGTACCCAGATTCAGTTAAATCCTCTAGAAATGATCAGGTAGATGTTCCCAGTGGGAGTATCTCAAATAAGGCACGTACATGATTATGTCCTTTTTTTAAAGTTAAGGCTTATGCTACAAGCAAGTCAAAAAGGTGGAGAAGAAAAGGACTGACCCTAATTCAGGATGTTTCCTTCTAATATTCAACGGGAAATTTTTTAAGCTCAAACACAGAGCTGAGTACAGCTTTAGACAAACAATAGAACATTTTTTGGAAATAAAGATTTTAAATGCTTATTTCAATGCTTTTTAACAATGTTTCAACCTTCCACTTAGACGACACATAATAATTTTAAAAACAACCTAATCATGCTTTATTACAAATACTGAAAGGCTAGATGATCCCCAAAATAAGAAAGGTACTGATTTGAGATTTTTCCAAAACATGTTTTTAAGTTTTGGTTTTATATTCTTGAAGAAAACAAAATGTTTCTGTTTGTTCTGAATTAACGTGTTTCTTCAGTTTGATTACAGACAATTGTTATTAGTTGGGTTATACTATTTTACAGTAAGCACTTCTGAGAGAATAAATAAATCCTATTTATAGACCAAAAAATACCAATAATGAAGAGGCATCCCCTTCCTCTACAAACTTTGTCTCACTAAGAAAAAAGACAAAAGGTGCTAGAAGAGACAAAGGCAAAGGCTTTCATATTCCTTCTGTACTGAAATGGATATGCTAGTTTTGCTCTGTGTGTGTTCTAACAATCTCTGATGATCCTGATAGCTTTCTTGCTATTTTTGGAATCCTATCAGTCTCCACTGCAATTTCCATAAATTGTTTTATTCCTGACTACATTGGATTCACTGGATTCACTCCACACTGATTTTCATGTCCTAGATTCTGGAGTCAGAACAGCATTGAACATAAGTGTCTCAATTTTCTCTAGTTTGAGGGGAAAAGCAAGCATTGGGGGACACATCTTCCTAGGAGAAACACAAAATCAGTCATTTCCAAACTGATTTGTCTTTGACTAGACTAAGGACAGGTTTCATTATGCAGAAAGCAGGTGCAAATCTACAGAAGTTGTAAGTGCTTAAAGCAAATTTGGATTTGATTGTGCAAAGGTTACAGCCCCCCAGTGGCAGTGCTGTCACTAGCTGCTCTTCAAATTCCGGTCCTGGCTGTTGTGCCTGCTATTCTTGTCCCGTTACGAAATGCTGCATGAATACTGAAGCTTTGTTCAGCCTCTCTTTCTCACTGGACAGATTTAAGTAAATTTTCTATCCAATTCTATTGAACAATATTAAAAATACAAAAGAGAAACTGTAACCTCTCCACTAATCCTTGTTGGAGCTCCAGAATAAACTCTTTAATAATGAGTCAGATATTTTGTTAATTTTGTTTTCCATGGGTTTTAAACTTCTGTTAATTTATTTGCCCAGTGATCAATGAAAAGCATGACACTTTTGCCTTCTGATTATTCCAAGGACATTTATATAATAAGTTTTTATACCTACTTAGTGAATGTAGCCTGACTCCCATGAGGTAACAGAGGAGCTGAGCTAAAAGTCATGTGGCCAGAATTTTAAAAAATTCCTCATGCTCTCTCTTCGCTGCCAGGTGACATTATGCAAGTCACTTCCTCTTCTTCTGTATTGGTTTTCTCATCAGTATACATAGGGGTAGATGGTGTTCCCTCTGAAAACTGCATTGAGGCCTACGGAGAATGATTACTAGTGTGCACTACAACTTCAGAGATAACACTTATTCTCAGCATACCATTTTATGTCCTTGTCCTCCTTGGCCCAGAACTGTATCTGTTATGTGGGTAAAGACAAGACAGCAGGTATAAAACACACTGTGCAAAATAAATCCGCGTCACAAAGCTAACTCACTTCTTGTATTACTCTTTACATACAGAGCAAACTGACTGACTTAGAAACACTGGCTTTGCTGATAGCAGCTCTAAGCCATGATTTGGATCACAGGGGAGTGAACAACTCTTACATACAAAGGTAAGTAAGTCTGAGAGAAGTTAAATAAAAACAAATGAAGACCAAAATCACAGAGCTAGGTTAAGCACAACCTAATTGATTTGGTGATGTGAGGCTGTGCAAAGGAGGAAGTTTTTGCAAAGCAGTAAGTGCAAGAGCAGCCAGAAACATTCACGAGTCCAAAGCAAAGATGCGCAACCTCAGTTGTTGACTAACTACGATGGCAGATGAAGAGAACTCTTTGTAACCTGTGCAGGGGCAGCGTCTTCCTGCTCCTGTTCCGTAAGTCCCATCCACCATTTTCCATACAGTGACAGCAAAAGGTCCCAGCTTCTAAGGCACAGCGGGTAGGAAACATGCAGCTTTTCAGCTTGCTCCCTGCCCAACCAGCTGTTCCCCATCTAGTCTGGGCCAGCACAGAGCTGGGATCTGCAGCCACCTGATACAAAGGTGTCTCCCTACCATTTTGAACTCTGTTTTACTCATGATTTAGCCATGTTTTTCCAGAATTCTAAGTTGATTTGGATAAGATACATATTTAAAATCACATTAAAAATGTATTTGCATTGATTTGGGGTTATCTGTACTCTTTAACTTTGATCAATTCTGGAATTACAGAAAAACCTTTACAACGCAGAAAGTCAAAATACGTTTTAAAACCTTGAAACAAAATATTTTTATTCAACATAGTATTTTGCTTTGAAGTTATCAAAATGAAGCATCTGAACTCTTCTAAAATTTTCTCCATATTTTAATTTTTAACTAAAAATACTTGTTTTTTTAGAATTTATTAATAGTTTCAGATCTGCCCAAAATGTGTTTTTCAGGGAATTTAGTATTCACTTCAAATAACAGTATATGATTCTTCGATTAAATAAATAGCTTGACTTAAAACATGGTATAATGGGATTACCGTGATACGGCAATGTATCCTGATCTGACCAGAGATGGGGAAAAGATACCCAGAAACGTATACTTGTATCTTTTTCTGGCAGAGTTGGAGAGTGGTTTTGAAGTTACCTTTGGAAGAAGTGGTCTGCTGTTCTTGCTGTGTGTAAAGTAAGATACTAGGGGAGGAAAAGTTTGTTTGAGGCAGAGAAACTGAAAGGCAGAAAATAAGTAAACTGAAGCAGAATTCCTGCCTTTCAGATATATGTTCAGAATAACACTAAGACTGATTTGTAAAGCAAAAAAAAAAAAACAAAACAAACCCCCAAACCCCACAAAATTGAAAGAGTAATGTTTTTCTAGTTCCCTAATAGGGGATTCCAGCAGTAACTGTAGCCTTGCAGTGATTGGAACTGGTTAGCTATTTTTTGCTTTATTTATTTAAAAATAAATTTCCTGGAAGACATCTGGAGATGCGTCATCGCCTCTCAAAAATGTCCTGGGAAAGTGTCATAGACAGCAAAATCTAACTTGCACATGCTGTAAAGCGGAGATGATTACAGCTTAATAATTCTTTTTCAATAGAAAGCTCCATTAATTTTGTTTTTAAATCCCTCATTTAAATCTAAATGAAAAGTTATTTTTTCCAGGAATGGATCCCTTTTGTTTCTTCCTTGGAAGCAGAGAGAGTAGGTACTTATCATATGATTCTTTTCTTAAGCAACAGGGTTTCAAAAATTAAAATAGTCCTGGTAGTAGAAATTACAGGAAATGAACTGCTTAAAGGTCTCCTGGTAGATATGCAGGGGGTTTATTTTCTTTTTCTTCCAAGCCCACATGTAAAGTAGGCAAGCACAGAGTATGAAAACTGCATAACCAAACTGCTCTGTTCACAAAGCAGTGGTGTCCTTTGGCCTGGCGTGGTGGTTTAACAGAAATGCTATGTACTACAGAAGTAGGGCCTGAGTTTATTTCCAGCACTTGTGTCTTCCCAGACAGCCAGGGTCTGTAAGTACTGAGCAAGCTCTAGTTTGGTGCAGTACTTGGGAAGATAACCTAAGATGTTTCTCACATATTTCTCTCTTCAGTCAGGATGAACTTTAGGGGACGCAGTATGCATCCCACTTAACTCAATGGGAATTTCACCCAGCATGCGTTGGCACCATCCTACAATTTATTTCCTTACAGAAACACGCAAGCATATTTGCTCTATACTCTTTTCGCAGTGGTCTCAGAGGAGGTGCTGGGCAGCCAGCCCATAATCCTCAGGGGCTTGCATCCTTTAATCTCCCTTTCCGCGTTTTTGTTTGTCTTTCCATCTTTCTCTCCACATTTTTGTGCTTCTTAAATCCCGGGAGTCTCCTCTTATGACTTTTATTTGAGTCTCTGTGTGCACTCACTTACATAGGGACCCAGTCCTGCAACAACTAATTCATGTGAATGATCCTTAATCATACAAAAAGTCCCATGGAACTATATCCTAAAAAAGAATTTCTTAGATGATTAAACATTTGTAGATCAGATTATAATTAGAGTAGTAGGTTCAGGATCAGCAGCAAAACAGACTTCCAAAAGAATCCCGATTTAGCTGAAGAGATGACATAAGCAACATGGGACCAGGGGCTGAAAATGAAGATACAGTACAAAAAGCTAAGAACTGTATTATGCAATGAGGAACAGGGGAAACTGGAAATCCTCAGAGAGGAGGATTTTCTGTATTTTGTCTAAAGCTACTCAAACAGTAAAGTCTATTTTCTAGACTAAGATAGCTTTAAATTCTACATCCACACAGTCGGTTTCATGCTGTTTTTCACTGCCTGTGGTACAACCAACATCTTGTTTCCCTTTTGGATTTTGCCCTGGGCAAAGGGTGGGTAATGATACTGCAGTAGTTTGGTCATGAAGAGAGTGGTGATGAAAGAAGTACCAATACAGTTACTAACACTGGGAAATCACTTGATCAACATTTTGGGCCCTGCACCAGAGTCCACAGAGGTCAGCA